CGGTTCTCCGAACTGCTTAGAAAGTTACCAACCGGTTCTCCCGAATAGGTGCGAACCGGCTGAATCCCATCACTGCTCTGGCCATTTCTACAGCAAGTAAAAGGCTTAAAAGCTGCCTAAGAAGGCCACAATTCCTCAAAGTTGCATGCAGCTTCCATCAATTCACACACAGCTATAAAAACAAACATTAGAGAGGGCAGAACAAAATTCTCTCCTAGTCAAGTCATCAAAATACAATTTGCAATGCCAGCCGGGCTTCGTAAGTAAAAAAACATACAACTAGTCATGCCATTCAACCATGCATAAAGGTAGCCGCTAATCGTCTTGAAATCCCAAAAGAACAAGAGGCAGGAAAAAGAGAATAGTGGAATATCACAAAACAGAAAGCAGGAATGAACCAGAGAGGGCCAAAATACGTTTTTCAGGTGGATTTCAACCATTAAAATCTCTCAAGAGTCTTCCTAATCACTGCACGGGTAATAGGAATTTTCACAGTACATTAATGGACATTTTTTTTTGAGATACACACATAAGCCTCCGGGAACAGATAATTTCAGAAAATAAATACTACATTATTTAATCTCTCTGTTAAAAAATAAATAAATCATGTTATCATATTGTGCAACAGGCCCAATTAAAAGTCTCGGTAGGATCTGAATTAAATAATAATGCATTGGGCCAATTATGACAAACGTATGCCAGCATTTACCTACACCCAACAATTATTCTCAAAAGTATGCCCCATTCTTCTGCAATTTTCTGAAGGTTGTAGAGGCCACGTAAGAATGAGGTGTACTTTTGCGTGACCTCTGGAACCTTTCGCTGTGCGAGGAGGCCGTGCTATTACATGGCCTTTGAATCCTCCAAAAATGGCACGAGAATAGGATGTGGACTGTGTAAGCCAAGGTGGCGCAGTGGTTAGGGTGCAGTACTGCAGGTCACTTCAGCTGACTGTTAGCTGCAGTTCAGTGGTTCTAATCTCACCGGCTCAGGGTTGACTCAGCCTTCCATCCTTCCGAGGTGGGTGAAATGAGGACCTGGATTGTTGGGGGCGATATGCTGACTNTGTAAGCCGCCCGGAGTCCTCCGGGATTGGGCGGCCTATAAATTTATTAAACATTCAAACATTTTTTTTAAAAAGAAAAATTCTACAGAATGAATTTAGGGCATAGCAAAACTATTTCCCCAACACTGCAGAGATTCCTGTTTTGCCTCGTCAAAAAAAAATCCTTACACTCAGAGCAGTAGTTAGAGGTTAAGAGATTAAGTTGCTTGCCACAGTAGAATTTGGCACTGTAGCCATGAGTTCTGCCACCCCCCCAATACACTCGACCCCGCAAATCATCGTCTGTCATGCTCAAAATAGAAAATCAGGGCTGTAAATCAGGATTTGCTCTTACAAGTACAAGGGTCAACCCTTTAGCATGAGGTCAACTGCTGCTAATCCATGAAAATAGCGGGGAGGGGGGGGAGCGTGTTATCTGGTTGATTGTGTGTGCTTCAATTATTTATTGTGTTGTTGTTCTATAATGTTTGAAGTTAGGTAGGGTTTTTATCATCCCCAAGCTGTGCTTCTCTTTGCTTCTATTTCTTTTAACTGTTAGCCATCCAAAGTCATGGATGGACGGCTACATAAATTTGCCAAATTAAATTATTGGCGCACAAATATAGCGTGCAGTCATACATTTCCCAATTTTTTAAACAAAACAAAACAAAACAGGATGTCCCGAAAATGGCGCAATAGAAGGTAAACTTATTAATACACTAAAGCTGGCCAATTTTCCCTTTTGGGTGTAATGAATGAATGAATGGTTTTCCCTCTAGATCCCTCCCGGGTCACTCAACTTAAGATTCCCGTGAATGTATCCCGCCCCTCTCTAACCCACCCCGCCGGGCATTTTTTAAGCACTCTCTTACCTGTATGAGTGAGCATGTGCCTCTGCAAAGAACTTGCCCAGGGGAAAATTCGAGGGCAGTGGGGGCACTTGATTTTCTGGATGCAATTTGAGTAGGCATTTCGCTTTCCCCGCAGGAGTTTGTCTTCAACGGCCTCTCTCTCCTCCTCGCTAGCTCCGTTTTTATCAGCCGCTTCTTTAAAGTCTGCCGTCGATTGTAGAAATGTGCTAAATTTATTGGTGTCTGTGGTTGCCAGCATTTTCTCGATGCTGGCAAACTCCCCGCTGGATTCCAAGTCCAGGCCGCTGCTCGCTTTGGGCTTGTTTTTTGTGCCTTTCTTTCGGCCTCTTTTCTTCACCGATCCGGACGTCGAGGATTTCTGGGACTCCGTTGGACTGCTGGTGCTCTTTGTTAAGTCGCTGGGAGTGCTGGTATCCGTCTGGACAGCGGCTAGGAGAGTTGCTTTAGGACTGGAGCTTCCTAACTTTTCAGGGGTGGTAGAGCTGCCAATGGCCACCTTGGGGACAGAGTCTGAGACTTCTGCCTTGAGCAAAGCCGGAGCAGAAGCCACCGATGAAATGATCTGTGCGATGGAAGCAAGGGGCGGCAGCTCTTCCGTCGCGAGAGGTTTTGGCAAGAGAAACGGCCGTTTGGGCCTCAAAGGTCTCAGCAAAACTGAGTTCCCCAAGACGCCTGGAGAAATTATTGGGACAGTCAAATGAAGTGGTCCCTTCAGTGGTTGGGAATGTCTGAGAGCTGCGTTTTCCAGATTGCCGTTAGCTGGAGGAGACGGTAGATAGCCTTGGAGTGTCTCCTCGTGGCCATCATGAAGCTCTTGCTTCTTATCCTCACTCATACTACCCTCATCACTCTCCCTTTTGCGAGGCTTGGGAATTGACAAATCAATGGGCTCCATGGAGTTCTCGTAGAGAGAGGACCCGAACGTGTTCTCTTGTTTGACCAGTACAGAATTCAGGGTTTTGTTCTTTTGCGAGAAATCTAAAGGCTCGTCAAAATCCATGGGGAAGTTATTTGCAGTTTCAAGTTTGATCGATGCGTGAGAGGGAGCCCCCCTTAAAAAGCCGTTCTGCGATTCCAGGAAAGGTGACACAGATTTGCAATCCAGATAAGTGCTTTCTTCCAGCAACACAGGGTCAGGCTGGCTTTCTGGAGGAGTGCAGTCCACAGCCAGCACATAGCTCTCGATCTCCCGCTCCTGGATGTGCAAATGCTGCTTGAGGATGTGATGAATGCAGTTCCGCTTGGCTGAGAAGGCAGTGCCGCACTCCTTACATTCAAATGGCTTCTTCTTCTGGCAGCTGCTATGGGTCCTCATGTGGACACGGAGGGCACGGTAATGTTTAAGGTCCTCCCCGCAGAATTTACACACGGTGTCTGGGGAGCAGAAAGCATCGACCATTTCAGCCGCATTGCTGGCCACGTACTCGATGTTCTTCTCGATGTCCTTCCGGGTTGTCTTGAGGTGTTTCTTGCGCAGGTGCCTTTCGCAGTTGGCTTTCACCGTGAAAGGGTAGTGGCAGATCTTGCAGATGTATGGCCTCTCCCCGCTGTGGGTCCTCAGGTGCCGGATCAGCGCTGCCTTGTCGGCTGCAATGTAGTCGCAGATGTTACACTGATACGGGGAGATACCTAAGTGAGAACGGATATGAGCTCTTAAGACTCCGGAGAACGGGAACACCTGCTCACAAAAACGGCACGGATACAACACTTTCCTCATCGCTGGGGTTTTCTTGTTTGCGGTTCCACTCATGATGGCCTTGAAGTCCCGATCGGTCACTTCTTGCTTTATTTTTGCCCCCATCGTCAAAGGCAGAAGGGCCTCTATGATGCTGTCTTGCTCCAGCTGGGTTTTCATTTCATGCTGACCCAGTGATTCTGCCTTAGCCTGGGGAGAAGGACTGGAGTTTGTTCTGGGTTTATTGTGCGCGATGGAAGAATCTGAAGTTGATTCTTGGTCCGGGGTTCTGACCATTTTTGGTGGTACTGGAGGAAGGCTTGGGCTGATACATCCCGGCGAGGCTTGCTGAGTGTTGACCAACGGAGGCGGCGTTGAACTTGCTACAACGGTCCGAGGGGCTACTAATGGCTTTGGCTTCAGTGGAGGCATATGTTTGAATATGGACGGGATGGGGATATGAGATGCCTTAGATAGCGGCGGGAGGCTGATTTGTGGCGTCGCTGAGGACGCCATCTTTAGGATCTGCTGGATGTCTGCTAATTCACCAGAAATGGGTTTAACAACAATGCTATTGTCAGGCTGGATTATGAAGCCTTTCGGGAAAGGCTGTAGTGAGAGTAGCTTCATATTTTCTTTTGTCGGTGGAAGGACTGAAAAGGGGCCTCCCACGGAAGCAGCCTCCAGAGGGGATAGGTTCAACTGGTTATTGCTTCCGGGTTCCTGAGGTAGGTTACATTTCAGTGTTCGTCGCTGCGTTTCTTGGACATCATCATCATCTGGCATGAGCTCCTCCTGCTTGACAGACTCAAGGTCTTTGGTATGTTGCAGCCCCAAGGATGCCATGTAGGTTTTTAGGTCTGCGTCCTCCGAGTGCAGGTTGCGCACTTCCCTCCCCTGATCGGTTGCATGGGTGTCTTTGTGCAGCTTGAGCGCTGAGAGCATGGGGAATGCCTTGTTGCATATATCACATACATAGCGATGATAATCACTGGTGCACCTCCGCAGGTTTGTTTCACACCAAACCTAGGAGACATCACAAGGAGACACATGAGCATTGAAGTATCCACAACATCCGAAAGGTCAACAGCACCCAGTTTTTGTGAAACTGAAACTGATTCTAAGAGACTGATGCTCCAACTATTTAGTCCCCCGATCAGGGGTGGGTTTCAACCAGTTCACGGTGGTCCCCGCGAACCGGTTGGTTGGCGAACCCGGAAGTAAGTAACTTCCGGGAATGGCGAAGGGCCCACCTGCCCACCCTCCTTACCGGTCTTTGAAGGCTTCTGCGCTTCCACGCAGGCGCATGGCACATCCAGCGCCTGCGCGATTCTCCGTGAGGAGCTGGAGCATCGCGCAGGCACTACGACGCACGCGTGAACTGCACGCGTGCACGAGGACGACGCCGGCCCCGTTCCAACTGAACCGGTTGGAACGAGATAAGCAACCCACCACTGCCCCCGATTCTCTTCTAAATTAACTAGAAAAGGAAGTATGGGTATTACACAAACAGCCAGGTAAAAATGAACAAATACCTGAGAAATGCGAGGAAATTTCCTACAAGAAAAGTCCGTGAAACCCAAATCATGG